ACAGGAAGGGTCCAGTGGCACCAGTGCATGGACAGGAAGGGTCCAGTGGCACCAGTGCATGGACAGGAAGGGTCCAGTGGCACCGGTGCATGGACAGGAAGGGTCCAGTGGCACCGGTGCATGGCAGCCCCCCCCCCCTCTGTCAGTGTGCCCCAGGACAGTTGTGGCTACATGTAGCTTAGCACCATCTGTGTGAATGGGTGTGTGTGAAGTCCTTTGGGGTCAGACTGGGCTTGATGAAGCACTTTATAAGTTCAAGCCATTCATTTAATCTTGAAAGAATAAAAACATAAATTATTCAAAGCTGATCATATACTGAGTTTTACACCAGAGTTTTAAACTATTATTACTTGTACAAACATTTAGTACGTGCAATCAAGCTCAAACTTTGTGTTGAGGATGGCTCTCAGCTAAATGGTAAATGGTAAATGGACTGAACTTATAGAGCGCTTTTCAAGTCCCTCCGGACCCCCAAAGCGCTTTACACTAACAGACATTCACCCATTCACACTCACATTCACACACTGATGATGGCAAACTACACTGTAGCCACAGCTGCCCTGGGGCACACTGACAGAGGTGGGGCTACCATGCATCGGCGCCACCGGACCCTCTGACCACCATCAGTAGGCAAGGTGGGTGAAGTGTCTTGCCCAAGGACACAACGACTGAGACGGCTGGACGGGGGGTCGAACCAGCGACCTTCTGGTTCCAGGACGACTCCCCTAACCACTCCGCCACAGCCGCTACTACCACTCCAAACTTTAGCTCAGTATCTGTAAAACTGGCTGAGGTTTAGTTGTTTTGCTTTGGCTAAAGTTGCACAGCTGTGTCGGCTAGTTGTAGATAACATCCAGTGATTTCATTAAAAAGTTTAAAGACATAATTATGAAAACATCAGGTAAAAAAAGGATTTTTTTCTATAGATCCCTTGTTTGTATTTTATTATTTTTTTTCTAAAGATTAGTTATTTTGAAAAGAATCAATTTTAATTTAACCAGTTAGGTGTTTTTATAGTTTTATCATAAAGTATTTTATTATAAAGTAGCTTCAACAGAATAGTGTTCTGATCCATTTAAACCCATCCATTTCTCAGGAACGACTGGGTTCAGTTACACAGTGTCGTTTTCAAGTGAAGCCATAGAATTTGGCTGAATTTTGGCTGTTTGTGTTCACAACAGCCACAGCTTTTTTCAGTTTTTTTTCTCTGAAACCAAAGCTTTTTAAATCCATTTGAATAAATGTTTTGTCTGTTTTAAAGTTAAGGAATGATTCAGACTGATTTTTCTTATTAACCTAACTTTAAATGTGCATATTACAGAAAAACTGTTTGAAATGAACTTTGACTTACATCACGCATCAAATGCAGATTTATTTAAAGGTCAAAATGTTTGAAGAGAAATCTGATTCAGCTTTGAGTTGAGAGTCTGTGACCTTGTTTTAATGAAATATTTGATTTGTGAATTATACTTGATAAAAACATGACTTGTTCTTCTTCCACAGGAAACACTTGTGACCGCAGATGACCACGGAGAGAAGACAGGACAGTTTTCTACTGACGATGTCACGCAGAGCCACAGCGTGAGGTTTACAGCAAACGATGCTGACATGGACATGACGACGAACCAAACTGGAAACATCTATTTAAATTCACCGCTGCACCAAAGCATGAACTTTTCACTTCCATCCAGAGAGAAAACTGTGGGTTTAGCTGCAGGCGAGGCAACGATGGATATAACTCAGTGCCTCACCGCAAACATCCAAAGCATTTCAGCTTCAGATTCTGCCTTGTTCACTGAGGAACGAGAGGAAATCTGTGATTCACAACGCAACAGGTCTTCAGTCAGGCACGACATGAAGACTGGGATTAATGACCTGTTGACAAACACGAATGTTAATCCCAAGATTGTTGAGAAAGACCAAACTGCTGTCCAGTCCTCTGAGGGTTTTACGATGTGTCTCGATGATGACGTATGCATGGATATCACTAAAGCTCAAACAGGCTACATCTTGGAAGGCTGCCTGAACACAGACGGAGCAGAACATCTTCAGTCTTTGCTACCCACTCAGGGAACGCAGCTTCAAAGTGTTAATCTGAGGAAGGAAAGGAAGACGTCCCATCAGCAGAGCAACAAGAACCATGGATCATCTGCATATAAAGGTACAGGAATGACAAGCTTTTCTTTTTTACAAATCAAACTGTGGACCATAGGGTGGGCTGATGTAAAGAAAATGTAATCACAATTAACTGTGGCATTTATAATGATTAAAAGATGATTAATCCCCTGGATGCACCAGAACGTTCTCGTTATACGAGTGATTTAAAGTCGCTCTAGCAGGAAAGACCCACCCTCTCTGAGAAGAAGATGAAGTTTAAGAAGCGGAGCACCAAGCACCAATCGTATTAATCTTAAAGTGACAAATATTAACCGTTGACACTTTTTCCTGGTGATTAATTACACACCATATGATGTTGTTCAACCCTAACCAATGCTATTCAATGATTGGTTAAAATCACATTTACTTAAAGCCAAAAGCTCAGAGGTCGGGCATCCAGACGTATTGCCATTACATAATTTTAATTAATGATTTAATATCTAGTTTTATTTTACACAAACTCGTTGGTGGGCCAAATTGAGCTCACCACCAGGCSTGATGTGGCCCCTGATCCTTCAGTTGAATCACCCAGCAGTGAAACCTGTAACCTGTGAGACCCTAAAGTAAAATGAAAACATTTCTGCCCAAACAAATGTGAACAAGAAAGCAACTTTTAGATAGTACTAACTGTGATGTAAGGATTCATTCTGGAAACTGTTAAATGTTTTTGTGTTTTAATCTTTGTTATAGAAACTTCAGTGAACAGTTCTTTACAAACAGTCACACAGAGACATCAGGTGAGAATTAAAACTATCTTTTACTTTGCTTTTTCAGTTTTCACCTATTTAAAAAGTTTACTGTGTTTGACTTTGTGATGTTTGTCAGGCCAAGCATGACGTCGAAGATGACTCCAGAGAGAAAATGAGGTTTACCACTGCCGACGCCAACATGGACGTCACAACATGTCAGGCTGTCGACATCATAACACGTTTACCGCTGTGCTCGCTGCCGATGGCAGACGACACGAAAACAGTGAGGTTCAAAGAAGACGACGCAGACATGGAGGTGACGCAGAGCCACACCGCGAAAGTCGACTTGAATGTGGCGTCCGACCAAAGCGTGAGCCTGGTACCCGCTAACGGAGAGAAGACGGTGAGGTTCACGACAGGCGGCGGTGACATGGATCTGACGAGAATCAACCCCGCCAACATTTCTACCTGTTCTGAAGCCAGGTTGCTTCAACATGCAGCCCGTTATCCTCCGTCTGGAGATAAAACCGTGAGGTTCACAACAAATGATGCATCTATAGAAATGACCAACTGCTTCACTGTAAATATTGACAATAATCTAGCTTCTTTCTTGGATTTAACCAATCAAAACCCTCTACCTGGCAAAGAAAACGTGGATTTTCCCTCTGCTAACCCTGATTCCTCCTCATCAGCACATTTAGAACAGGAACTTCACAGCTCCATGTCTCTGAAAAGTGCCTCTATGGTCCAAGCAGAGGCAACTGATACGCCTCAAGAAACCGCTGAATCAAACGGTTTTCAGCCTAAAYCACAGAAACCTGAGACGAGTGCTYAAAATGAGAAAACGATGACCAACTGCGCAGAAACTGAATCAAGCTGTTTGAGGCCAGCGTCTGAAGTCTGTGATCCACAACTTGATGTGTCATCAACACGAGACGGTTCTGATCATTTGAACAGTCCAACACGAGGACCCCCTGAGGATGTAGACTCAAACAAAATGGAGACCACGGCAGCAGAAACGATTCCTCCGCCTCAGAAGACGGAACCTGGCGACGCAGGACACGTCGACGCGTCAAGCTCACGAACATCTAGAAGAAAYAGCTTGGCTGATCTCCAGTCCAAACTCAAGCGTTTGAGCAACATTCTAAAAGCAGCTCCTGATACCGTTGACATCGACAGCAGCACGGTCCGTTCGCCTCAGCCGGCGGACCCCGACAATAAGTCAGACGATAAAACCGCGTCTTTACCCGAAGCACAGCCAGAACTCCAAAAAGACCTGCAGAATGCTGACAATGACACCAGTGCTCAAAGTGGACCAGAAGAAGTCTTTTCTGCTGCCAGCGCGACTCCGTTCAAACTGAAGACACAACAGCTCATGTCCAGACTCTCAGTCGGGGGCTTTAAGCCTAAACTCCCCCAAAGGAACAAACCCAGAGAGGGGAAGAAGTCCACCTCTGCAGGAGAAGCTACAGGAACCCTCAGCGACGACGTCACCAGCCGGCTGAGAGACTTCGACCACGACATCGACAACGTTTTCAACGAGGAGCTGGGCAGCTGTGAGGACATGTCGGAAACGTTGGACACCAGGACTCCTGAGAAAATCCCTGCAAACCAGAATCCTTCCAAGGAGTTCTACACGTTTGAGCCTGTGGAGGAGGATTTCTTTAAAGAACCCTTCGCTTCACCTTTCCACAACCAGAAAAGGCCTCTGCCAGAAGGTGAAGGCCATAAAAGCCATGAGAAGAAGCTGAAAAGGTGCACAGAAGAGGTTGAAACGGTGAGTTAAGTTTTATATTAAAAGTTCTAACAAAATATCACTATAAGCTGTTTTGAACGGAGTACCTGAGAGTTTAGTGTAATTTTACTTCCTTTTCATCTTTTATCTTTCAGGAGTTTCAGCCCGTCGTGGACCGTGACTTGAGCATCGCCGCCTCTCAAACGACGATGCAGACCATCGATTCTTCCAACAGCTGCAGTTATGAAGCTGCATCAGAGTCAAGTGAGACCTTATGATTTAAAATAATCACCGTTATGATTCTTATTTTCCTGCTTTTTACACTTTCTAACCCTTTTTATGTTCCATCAACCAGCCTTTAAGCCCAGTCTGTTTGACTCCCAGCTTGAAGATTACAGCAGTGATGGAGTGAAAGTAAGCTAACATTTTGAAAACACATGCTTTACACATATGTCCCGTTAACGTTCGAATTATCGTTGGGTTACAGAAACTCAAAGACGGCACAATAACGGTTATGGAGTTCTTCCGTCTGTTCAACATCGACTTCGTCATCCATAATCCTCGGCAAAGTGTCCTTCCTGACAGAGTGGGTTTCTCTCTGTTTGAACAATAACATAAGCTTTGTGTAAAATACAAAAGCAGCTGAGCTAACTCGTGTTTTCTTTTTGAAGGTTTTGTCCGACGTGGATGTCACYCCGCTGGATTTATTAAGGAACAGACACATTAATCGTCCTACAAAAAAAGTCTACGAGGCCGACATCCAGAACCTCTCAACACGTGTGGAAGAGTGCGTGCATTTATAATATTTGTTGTATGTATATGTAGATATAAATTAGTCTCAAAAAGGTTAGGTTTACACCAGGCTGGTACATCTGAGCTTCACCACATTTACTGGGTTACTGAGGAAAAGACGTTTCTGACTTACAGCTCAGTTAAACTCAGGAGCCAAAATTCAAAACTTGGTCCAAGCTGAGGGCCAATCTCTACCAATATTTATTAAAAAATGTTACATAAATTGTTATTATCGTAATATAAAAGACTTTCTACAGTTTTATGTACCATTTAGAATGTGCATTACCAGACTTTATGAAGAAAAAAATTTAAGTTAGACTCATCATTAATTTATTATGCCTTACTTTTTTATCAACACCTTTTTGATTTATTATAACTTAGAGATACATTTTATCACAATCCAGCAAATCGGTTAAAGAAAATCATCTCAAACCCATTTATTTGACTGTAAAATATAAAGAAAACAAAGTAAAAGATATTTAAGGTTGATTCTCTTTTGATCATTTCACACCCAAAAATCAAAAATGACAAAAAAAATAAATTTCAAATAAATTTTTTGGGCCTAAAGAGTTAACTGAATACAGTGAATAAATATTAAAAGACAAAAACCATAAAACTATTATACATACATTTAAAAGATACCGTGCTTTTGGGGCCGGATAAAATGTTAACGAGGGCCAGATTTGGCCTGCGGGCCTTGAGTTTGACACGTGCCCTATATTAAAACACATACTCTTATATTACTGGGATCTAAAAATGTTACATTTTGTGGACTTACAGCTGAAATAAACCACCTGAAATTAGTTGTTTTATCAGAACAAATAAATACAGGAGAAAATGTTATTTTTGTGAACTTTAAAACTGAAATACATATCAAAGGTAGGTCATGGGTAGGTAAACTACGTCTTTAACCCAATAAACCAGTAAATCCCAGTTTTCCACCAGCCTTGAACACAGCATCACCTGTGAATCTGCAGAAGGCCTCAAAAGTCACGAGCGGATATCAAATCTTTTTGAGACGAATTTATCTCCATATATTTATGAAAAAAATTTTTTTCTTAAATATCTAAACATGATGGTTTTTAACCTGAATGAGCATTTAAATGCTTAAATAAAAGTTGTGTACACCAATGTAGCTGAAAAAGCCATTTAACTGTTATAACTTTAGGTCTAACTTTAACTTTTCAAACTAGTTTTTCTTGATCCCTCAGGTTAAAGGTTCGACTGGAGGATTTAAACCAACCTCTCAGGACTGTAAACAGACGTTTGTGGGAAGAAATGAGGCACATCTCAGACAAAGAGGTGACGGATTACATTTTTATTTTTTTATAATTTACTGGTTCAGTTTAAGAAAATAAAACAAACCTGTTGATCCTTTTTGGGTTTAACCGTGTAAATGAAAGGAGTCACGATGACTGATGTGTCTGAATTTRTCTGTTTTTGTTCTCAGCTCAAATGTTTTGGAGCGAAACTGAAAGAGAGAAACAGCTTCTTCAGAAAAACCAGCAGAGTCCAGTCACACCAGATGAAGGAGGTGCTCTACAACAACCTCGTACGAGCCAATCAGGTGAGGTCCTTCACACCACAATATTTCATTTTAACACCAGAGTTTGTTTTTTTACTCTGAAAAGGTTGTTTTCTGCAGGAGGAGCAGCAGAAATTGAGAGGAATGATCATGAAGGCGGACATGATGCTGAAATGTCTGGACGACTGTGTTTCAGGGTTAGAATCAGGTAAATCAGCTGAACAGCTCAGAGCAGAAAAATAAAAAAATGATTAAATGTTCATTAAGTTTTATCTGGTTTTGTTTTTTTTAGAATTAAATACAATTATGCAAAAAGACACTGAAGACAAGAAATGTGTAAAAACACTCGATGAAGGTAATTTAAGATGAAATCTTTCATTTTACTTGACTTGATGTGAACTCAACAAGGTGATGTGTTTGGCTTTCATTTATTACAGAAAGTACAAAAACCTCAGCAGCTTTAGCTGAAAACAAAAGGTGAGTTCACAGTTTGATAATGTGTGAGAAATTCTCTGTTTTATCTGTTGATACAGGGAGAAATGTTTAAAATCTTTCTTTTTTAGACACATTTCTGAACTGCAGCTGCAGAAGAAGCAGACTTCCAGTAAAGTGAACAAACTGAAAGCTGAGACGAGTACCCTGAAGAGCCACATCGACACGCTGAACACGTCCGTAGGAACAACTGAGGGCTTTATGTTTTTATACATGAAGAGATGCTGAAAAATAATCTGTTTTTGATTCTAACATCAGGTTGAACGAGTGGAGGCTCAAAGAGAAGGAGGACGATCGAACGAGCTTCACTTTCCTCTACGAGACCATGATCCTGGAGCTGCTGTTTGAAAAGCTGGACAGTAAATACTTTCTCATGGCCTTAACATCTCCTTAGTCTCTGTTTACTTAAAGTTGTTTTTGTGACTCTTGAAAACCTCTAAATACTTATGTGTGTTACTTATATATGTATATATATGTGTGTATATATGTATTTATATACTATATATGTATGTATGTACAGTATGTGTGTATATATGTATGTATGTATGTATGTATGTATATAGCTCCCGAGTCTCTATAAATATTAGTTTAGAAGCTTTTAATTCTAGATTTAAAAAATAATCAAAAACTCTATATAGAAAATAAATAAGAGCAGTGTATGTCAGACATAAAGCTCTTGATGTTTACGTGTGTTTATATTGAATAAGAAGCTAGCTGAGTAGCTTTTTACTGAGTAAAAACATGAGGTGACAAAATAATGTGCGCAGCCAAGAGTCCAGTAAACATTGAAGTGTCTGTTCTGTTGTTTAACTTGTTGTTAAAGGAAACYCTGCTGACAGCGGCGCTGAGAAGATAACCAACATTAACTTCAAATTCGAGCTCGACGGTGAGGAAATAAGTTCAGCTTGAAGACTGAACAAAGTGTTTGTTTGAACACGTTGGATCCTGACCTCATCACTTGTGTTTTCATGCAGAGGAAACGTCTCAGTTCCACGCCCGCCTCGTTCACAAGCTGCTCTCCCAGCACATGGAGGCCCAGTCAGGCTGGCTGCACAGATACCCAACCAGCAGACATGTTCCCAAGGTGACTGTGCTTTTCTTTAATTTCARCTAGAATTACAGCACAAATACCGTCTGTAAGTTGGATTAAATGTTTAATCCGAGGTGTTTCTAATGGTTTTAGCTGCTCCATGATGTGAGCCTGGTGGTGAGTCCCTGTCGTTTGCTCGGAGAGGAGCTGCGTCTCCTGAAAATGTGGGGAGCTCTTCGGTTTGATATACTCGACATCAGCTCTACAGAAACTCAGTAAGAACAGGTTTTATTTCAGATATAAGATTATGTTGAGTTTAGATTATATAACCGTTGATAGCACAGGGTTATTTGACATTTTATTAAATTAAAATGTTATTTTAACCTGCATTAAAAGCCTCCATGTGTTCAGTTTAAAGGTGTACCTCGTTTTCTGTTTTATGTGTGTAAAAATAAAAAGTTTACATTAAATAAAACCATATTTGAATAATAATTTGTCTACTTTCAGAGTGCGCATCGTCTTCAGCAGTCTGAAGAAAATGACCAAGTTTGAGGTGGTGTTCAGTGTCAGTTTGATGAACCAGCTCTGCGTCTTTCACGTCCAAAGCTTCAAAAACAGATTTGGAAACACAACGTGAGTATGACCTGAATAAACTTGAACTGTCTAAAGGTGAAACTTCACTGGAATGACACAGCTGAGTGGCTGCCGACTCCCGAGTTTAAAAAACGTTATAAATTTGTAGCTTCCACTCGTAAAGCTGCAGTCGTGGCCGCCCACATTGTTTGTTGCCCCGCCTCCAGCACATTTCGTAAACAGGTTCAGGACGCTCGCAGGGACTCTGTGGCTGTTTGTTTGTGCCACAAACAAAATTTACAGGAAAACAAACTCACGGACAGAAATATCTGTTAAATTTCAGCAAACTCAAAAATCAGCACGACGCCCTGAGGACATCCGGAGGAATCACCAAACTAAAGGACYGTTATTTATGGAGATAATGATGATATTTAGCATATTTATAGGGAAAAGTACCTGTTTTTTTTTGCATTTTCTATTTCTTGTGACTTTATTTTAAACTTCTCATGCAGCTAAGTTTTTATTATTTGTCTTCTAAACCTGCTGAACTAAATTAATACTAAAAATGTGTCAAATATGTTCAGATACTCACTTTTCCTCTGAAAGATTCGATGCAGTTAGAGATGTACGTTAGCAAGAATGAACCGAACCTTAAACATTTCAGACAGTTTCCTTTAAAGCAGAAGTACAAACTGACTTCAGTGTTTGTGTTTGTTGTAGGATCCAACAGATGGAGGAGATCGTGGCGTCGGTGAGTTCAGACACGAAGCTCTTCACGCAGATCGTCACAAAGATACACAACACTTTGTTCAGCTGAGTTCACACAAAGATACACAACACTTTGTTCAGCTGAGTTCANCACAAAGATACACAACACTTTGTTCAGCTGAGTTCACACAAAGATACACAACACTTTGTTCAGCTGAGTTCAGACCGACCGTGTTTATAATGAAACTGTTGTAAAATATAAAAGAGTCGTAAAGTTCACATGTAATTCTGATTTCTGTCAGGTTTTGTTTTTTCTTTCTGTTTGTGCTCAAACAGAATCAGCTTTTACCAACAAAGTTCTTCAAACATTGATAAATATGAAAAGAAAAAATTAAAACACAATTTGATTTGTTTTAAAAGTGACTGCATATCAGACCATTTCTGCAGTGGCTGATTAAAAAAGGGGCTAATATGTCACAATAGGATAATAAATAAAAAAATCAAACAAGCTGATAAATGATTATTTTCCAATTTTGTATAAAAAATGTTTTTGATTTAAAAAAATACTTGAAGTTTGTTATTTTCTGTGTACCATTAAAGTGTAGAATAAATAAAAATGTGTTGCAGTAAATACTTTTCGTGCCTGTACAAGTTTTTTTAAATGATGCATTAAATTTTTACTATGTCTTTAAAAGCTTTGTGAATTATTTTTACCATGTTTTGATAATGACACGTTTAAAATAAAACAGGTTCGTGGCGTTTCTTGTAAAGTAGAATAAAATGTATTTACACAACTTGCGTTGTTCAGTCTCCGGGGGGCGCTACAGGCTTAGAAAATTAAATATTGTTTAAAGCTTTTTCCTCACTATAACACTACCTGTAAAAACAAAGARAAACAATAAACTACAACTGTTAAAATCACAAATGTTAAATTTTACTCTGCAGATAAATGATGTTTAAATGAAAGAGCAGCTGAAGGAGACTGAGCAACGACCGTCCAGTCCCTGAACTCAAACTGGACTTTCTGGACCATCGAGAGACAAGTTTAGTCCTTCTTACTCCCATAAACATTATCTGCTGTCAAACCAAGTGAAGGGCAGCGACACGGGGGTCTGCTGGGGGTCCACACAACCTCATTTAATGGATCTGCTGAAGGTTTCATTGTTTAACAGCAGAAAACATTCATTCATTGGATTACAGGAGTTTACTGAGAGGAAAACATTAATACTTTAGAAAAGATCTCACAAAAGGTAGCTCATTAGTGTTGGAAATGACTCTCAGCTTCTAAACTATAATTTACAGAAGAGGATTCAGACCAAAACAAAAGAATTCTGACTTTACAAAGTCAGAATTRTTTATTTCCGTGGCCCTAATCCTCTTCTGTAATAACTCTGTGAAGCTGAATAAATTTTCATTATGCAAAAGTAATTTACGTGAATGTTTAACAAGGAATGACGAGAGTTTTTAAAAACACTTTAAATAAAAAGATTCACTCTTTGCTTTTCTAAAACAAACCCTGAACCAGGGGTGCCCAAACGTTTTCCCCGAGGGGGCCAAAATGAAAATCTATCCAGGGCAGCGGGCCAAATACAGTAATATTAATATAATACATGAAATACAAATACTTTTTTAAAGTAAAGTCCTTCATTTTTAACAATTAAGCTGTGCAATGGCCCTCTTTTGTTTTAGTCTGTGCACTTGGAGAAAGTCTGCCATACGCTCAAGTAGCAAAGGCTCATGGGACATTTTATAAATTGATAAAATATGAGTTTTTGTGGTCTTATAAAGTGTGCAAATCTACATGTGGGGTTAAATCTGATCTAAATATGTCTTGTTGTCATTTCATGTTTTATGTTTAATCCTAATAAATCAAAGATAAAGTCAGCACCATGAATAAAAACTACCTTCACTAACAGGCTTTTTATACAGTCATTTGACCAGTAGAAATACTGTGTTTCTACACAGGATGACAGGTTACAACCTTGTAACTTTGGCAACTGTTGGTGGGCCAGATCAAATGGCTTGGTGGGCCAAATTTGGCCCGTGGGCCCCACTTTGGGCTCCTCTGCCCTGAACTGAAACAGCCCCGCTGGTTAAATATCCTCAGTTTTCCTGCAGTGGAGGACACTGATGAGGTTAAACTGCTCCAGGCTCTGACAGTAAACTGATTTGGACCGGGTCGCTCCAGGTTAAATGTTCCACTTTACAGGATTAGGTCTTCGGTGTGACAATGTGTTGATTCCTTAATTTAATCTGAATCACCATAAAAACACAACAACAAATAAACAACCTTACATCACACGTCAGCTTGAGCTTCATGTGAAGCAGTTTGAGCAGAACAGCTTCAACATGAGATGATTTTAGTTTCACCTCCGTCATGAAGGAAACAGGACAGATGCACGCCTCAAACGAATCCTGGGTTTTATCTTGTAAAAACACTCGAGGTCTTCAGCTCGTCGTCGTTCCAGGACAAAAAATAAATAAAACCTGAAAAGTTTCAGCAATGTTTTCAAGATTGATTTTAGTCACTTGTCTTTACGTTAAAAACTTTCATGGAACTGGTCAGTTTTGTTTAGCAAGACTGCACTTAAATGACCCATCCTGTGACATTGGATAAAATAATTTGTGGACATGAGAATGTGTGGCCATGAGATATTAATGCATGGTTACAACATGTGGTTATGAGACAGTTAATACTTAGTTATTGTGTGGCCACTGAATAAAACTGCAAGGCCACAAGGGAACACGTGGCCATGAGACAGTAATGCATGGCTACAAGGTAGTTAACTGGTGGCCACATGTTAATTTTGAGCAGCTGAGGCCTGCAGACACTGATGGAGTCAGATTATACAGTTCAAATGTGTCCAACACTTATTATTTGGTGTTCGATGTTTAATCTGAACGGTTCATTTTTCACAGTATTTATGTGACGTTGAACACCAGGTGTGTGTCAGGACAGGCTTTCTTTGTATGAATGTAACAAAACTGCCGTTAGGCATGAAGTAATTCTTATGTTTTCGCTATAAGACAGAGGTGATGAAGTCATCTTTGTTCAAAAAGCTTTATTTTTAAAGCTCAAAATAAACTCACCTGTGTCTCTGCAGGAGTCGGTGACTTAATGTCATCTGTTCTGTTTTAAATCAAATTCACATTAATTCAAACTTGTCCGTGTCAACAGTCCATGGAAATGACTGCAGTAATGATCTTGTGACCACACATTAATTTTCTTAAATTCAGAGTCACGGAGCAGGCTCCGCTCTTTCTCTGACCTTGAAGAAAACATTAATCTCAGATCAGTTCGTCGTGTTTTATGATAATTACCAAAGTGAGCTGCTGGAGTCCAGCTGGGACGACTTCCATCAGATTCAGAACAATTTAYAGGAAAAACTGGACTTTAGAGACGTTTTAAAGCAAAGGACCAGGAAAACAAGAAAAACGTTTAAATTAAAGTAAATGTTTGTCAAGTTACACCCAACAACTGAATAAATGTTTGAACTAAAAGAGGCAAAAATTATTTTCATGACTCAGATTTATTTATGTTTTTACAATCGAGGAAAGAAAATAAGAAAATTAAATTCATCTGGATCTTTTTGTTTTAGAGTCTAGAATTAAATTTCTCTCACTGGATTTAGTTCCTAAAAATAAGTTTAGTAGTTGATAATTGTAAGGATATTAGTAACTTTTCTTATTTTTTCAACGTCCTTCTGTTTTTGACACTTGACTGATGATGTGAACGGCTAATTATACAGAAACGAGTGAAGACAAAGGCGAAGACCACAATACAACAATTAATCAGTCCGTTTATTCAGCTCAGCTGTTCAGGCCACAAATAGGTTTTTAGATTAATGAAAACACTTCAAACAATAAACAATGTGTTAAAAATATTTTTTCAGACAAAGAAAACTGGTGGATATTTTGAATTATGGTTCAAACTAGAATAATGATCTTCAACAGATCTGTCCTCCAAACAACAGACTTTGTGTTTTCTGAAGCTGAGAATCAAAAAGACGTCAGTGTTTACAGGCAGCAGGTGACGTCATACAGTTAGTTCAGATGGCAGCAGCTGTCGTTTGTAACGTTACAGTCAGAAATTACCACAAATATTTTTGTTTTATTTA